CAAACAAACAACCTGAGACGTTGTTGTCTTTCTGTTTACTGGAAATGAAATCAGACAGTGAGTTCTCTCAGAGGCTAGGCCCTCCTATGTCACGTTTTTGTGGAGCTTTTACTAACTATCCAAAGAGGATATTTTCTTCGGTTTAAAATAAAAAGTGAGTCAGAGTCATGGACCTCTTCGGTGTGAGTGAATTTAGGGGACCATCTAGCCAATCAGCAGACAGCTGCTCGGTGAACACAGTTTGTTCTCTGCAAGTTTTGCTTTTGAGCATTGAGCAGAAATGAATCAGTTCGAAACCAGCTTTTGCTGTGTGTGGAGTGTCCAGGCGCCTGCTCTTCCAGTGTTAAAACGTTGGACACGTCCTTCTCATTCCCTGTGATTGACCTGATGAAACCTAGGCTTCCTGACGACACGTAGGCTAGATTCCAAATGAGAGGATGAGCAACCTGTTCAGGTATGTTTTTTAAATTTTATTTTTGTCTTTCATTCTTTCTTTTTCGACCCCCCTCCCTCCACACACATACTTACTCATATTATTAATATTGTTATATCAACTTTAGTTCCTTTGTTTGTTTGTCTTGCTTTTCCCATGCACTCACTGACCATTGTCAATAATCACGTGGCTATGTATCTCGTTACTCACCCCCCCCCCCCCCACCAACCCCAAAGTAAGATACCTCGGAGTTTGTCATATTCATGATTCAGCTTTGAATTTATTTTCCCCAGATAACTGTCACTCTTTAGATTTCTCTGCAAGAAGGCACTGGTGTTATTATAAAGTCTACCACAGAAGGTAGACGGTCAAATAAACAGCTGGTCGTGTTTGTTTGATCCATTTCTGAGTATACATTTTACAGCATCATTGAAACAGTAATGGCAGTACATCACTAACAAACTGCAAAGAACAAGCCAGTATGCAAATTTCACTTCCAACACTCAAGCTCAAAATCATTAGGCAGCTCTTCCCACCCAATTCTACTTCTGTCACCCCCTTTCCCCTTTAAAAGACTCCTACCTACACTGCTGTGGCCCTGTAAGGATAGGTTGATAGGGAGCTAGGTGGATAGGCTAGGACCAGAGTAGGATTTTGTAGATAGTATTGCCATGGCCATGGCGGGAGGGAGTTGAGGGGGCAGTGTATGTAGGATTTTTAAATTTTTTATATATTTTTTTT